GATTCATTTGCCTCACTACCTTTGTAATTTTCTCATGTATTTATTTATTCATTCATGTATTTGTTCCCCACCTTGTTTCAAATTGGCTATCAGGTGGCTTACAAGAATACACAAAATACAAATGATAGTATAAATTCAAAGTAGATAAGAAAGTAGAAAGGGGGGGAGATAGGAACAGCCCTGTTTGTGTGGCTCAGTAGATTGAACACTGTCCCACACAACAGGAGGTCATGATTTGATTCCGTCAGGGCATATGCCCAGGTTGCAGACTTTATCCCCAGTAGAGGGTATATCATACATCAGGCAGCCGATTGGTTAATTATTCTCTCATTATTAATGTTTCTATCTCTGTCTCTCTCTCCCTTCCTCTATCTGAAATCAATAAAATCATTTTTTAATCTTAAAAAAATAATAGGAACATAAAATGGAGCCTGGAAGAAAGCTAATACAAAGCACATACATACCATAGAGTCCCCATGGCAAGTGCTATGCATGGGCCACAAATTTGGCTCCAAGCTTTCTAGTAGCCAGCAAAAGAGAAACCTAGTAAATGGTAGATCACAAAAGAAGTGATCTGCCATTTACTAGAAAGCCAATAAGCTTTCTAGTAACTTCAGTCTCACATTTCACAGGGTACATAAAATAAAAGCAAAACCACTTCTTAAGGATATTCTTTTCCTGATCTAAATTCTAAAAAATTTTTCTATAGTGAAGTGTCATAAATGGTGGTAAATTGTCTCTCCAAAGTTGCTTTAACATCGCGATTCAGCTCCTGGAATAGTCTCCAACAAAGACAGTCATTCTTGAAATTATATCTACTACTACTTAGTTTTTTTCTACATATCTCTTGAAATTCCATTTGTTCAATTAAATGTAGCTATTAAAAAGACTTCTTTAAACAAAACAAAACAAAACAAAACAAAACAAAACAAATAAAAAACCTCTTTCACCAAAGCAAGTATTTTCATTTAATTAAAGAAGTAGACATTGTGACATTATTTATTTAAAAAATTTAGAAAGTTCACCAAATATCCAATGAAAGGAAATGATTAAATAAACCATGATGCCACTATTGCCAATATATGATGAAATATTATACACTTCAAAAATAATATTATGAAAACTTTTTAAAATATAAGAAAATATTACTTATAAAAATGTAAGTGAAAAGCAGGATAAAAAATTATATATTATGATCTCAACTATGTAAAAATATCCCCATATATAGCCATAAAAAGTCTGAAAGTAAATCCACCAAAATGTTAACATTGTTTCTGAGATCTATGAATTTGGGTGATTTTTTTTTCTTTATGCTTGTGTTTATTTTCCAAAGTTTTTTATACTAATGAAAAATTTCTCTATAATGAGAAAAAAGGACTAGGAAGAAAATATCAACCTAATCAGTTATCATTGTTCTATGAAATTATGGGCAGTTTCAATTTTTCAATTTTCTATAAATTTTAGCCAGGAACAAAGTTACTTAAAGAAAGAAACAAGAATTCTAAAATCTAGTTTATTGGTTGCTTATAAAGTCCAGAATGATGGAAATCTAATAATACCTCACAATAATTAATCACTTAATAATTACAATATTATTTTACATTTTAATAATTAATAAATGTATTTATTTAAATTTAATATTATTAAACTTATTTGTAAAAGCATCCTGATATTTATAATTATATTTAATTATCAACAATATCTTGTGAGACAAGCTAGATAAGACCCTTCTCATTTAACAGGTGATGAAATTGAGGCTCAGATAAATTAAGTAACTAGCTCAAAGTCACAATAATCAGTGACACAGATAGACTTAAACCCAGGCCTCCAGAATTCTAGTCCAGTGTTCTTTCTATTTATTCAAGACTGACAGTGGTGTAACCTAATCAGTCATTGAGAGACAGAAATATAAAAATAATAACCGCTCCCTACATATAAGGATGCTATTCCTGCATAATCCCCAAGGTAGGGGAGTTTAGCTGATGAAATTATGATTTTAGGAGGTAAAAAAAAGAGTAAGGAAAGTGAGGTTACATGTGAATTTTGAAATCCCTCATAAATACTTTTTTGTACAATAAAACAAAACAATAATAACAGTGCATTACATAAAAAGAATGAAAGTTTAAATAGCTTAAATTGTAAAAAATGACAGGTTCTATATAGTTTCCATTTTAGATCCTGAAATGACTTCCAAAGGCAATGAAGATGCACTACTCATTATGGCAGTGGAAAATGGGAGTGACAGTGAATCAATGAACAGAGCTGGACTATATCAAAATCATGGCTCTCCATACTCTCAGAGTCATCTAAATCCAATCCTAAAATTGTAATGATTTGCTTGTGGCTTTAGCCTTATCAAGCAAGTGAATTGAAGTGGTACAATTTAATGACCGTGACTCTTCTGAAGATGCCTCCTGTCTTCTCAAGACTTTAAAAGACACCTTAGCACTTTGGTATAGAATTCAAATTAAATCATTCGAGCTTTTCTGAAGTCAGATTATCAGCTGTTCAGCACTGGTATATAAATGGCACTACTTGATGATTTAGGCTCTTCTGAATTTGCTTTCTTCCTATTATGGTATCAAAAGTCTTAGAATCTCCTTATAGAGTTCAAGTAAATTATTCAAGCTTTGTCTGAAGACAGTTTATCAGCTTTCCAGCATTTTGTATTTGATCATTTAAGCCCTGCTGGTTTCTGTCCAATGTGATATTTTTTTAAGGCACCAGAATACCTCTTTATGTAATTCTGCTAAATTACTCAAGCTTTGAAGAGGTAAAATTGACATGTAAAGGTATCAATTTTCCCTACTTTCTTGGAGAGGTGCTAATATTGTTCTAAAATACTTGCTTCTGTTGCTACAGTTTCATAGATTCTAAGTATCTTCATCATCACTTATGGTAATCATCTCTGGAGTATTGGAATTTTCCTGAAAGTCATCTTCTAGCAGCATCATATCACATGGGTTAGTGTCAACAGGTTCAGATTCAACTTTAGCCAATGACTGGTTGTGCCAAATGTTCATTTGCACCCATAGGTTCTTCTTCAAAATATTTTTTTCAGGAGGGAATGCTGAAAGATTTTTCACCATATCTAACCAAATTTTCCCACAGGTTGTATTAATGAAAGGCCCTGTTAAACTACTGAAAGTCTCTTTTATTAAGACTATAGCATTAGTGAGGGTGTAGGAATCCCATGCATCAGGATCTTCAGATAGAGGAACCTTTGTGAGATTTTGAAAAACAAAGTTATATTATTAATTTGGCATTAAGACTTCTTGAATGACTGGATCAAACACTGATCTAAGGTCTCAAATATCTGAGACATGAGAATAATTATCAAACCAAATTTAACATTAGGATGCACATTGGCAAGTACATCTGAGGTTCCAAAAGGACTATAACAGATCAGTAGGACTTTGAATTCAAGATTTTTAAAAATAGTCTTGAACTTCCACAAGAAAGTACTTTTTAAACAATTCCTTGCAGAGATAAGGAGTCACCCTGGATTTTCTGTTTGCACGTAAATGCACCAGAAACTTGGCTAGTTTTTTTTCCCATTGGGAAGTTTTAGGCATAATTTCATGTAGAGTAGTAATGATTTCACTATGAGGCCACCTGAAGTAGTGGCACAAACCACAAATGTAAGCCTCCTTATTTTTGTTTACCTCATACCAGCGTCAGTTGTATCCTACTCTTCAAAAGGGCAAGTAATATTATTTAAGGGTTTCCAAAGCATTGTAGTCTCAATAGCACAGATTTGCACAGACACATAACTCCCTACTTCAATTACTTTCTGCAGTTGTGGCAGATACAACACAGGCTCTGGTAGTTCTTTCTTTGGCACCACTATAACATAAAGCTTTGTCTCCAGGTCATGGCATTTCTTAAGTTTCTCAAATGAGCCCTTGTTCCTAGAAAATATTTTTTCTGTACCCATTTCAGTGTCTGAAAATATTCCTTCAAGATTTCTTCTTACATGGTTACAAATCCCATACATGGAAAGTGTTTCCTTATTATTTTGCTTGTATCTAACACAGATGATTAACATCATTTCCAAGTTTTCCATCCTTATGTCACAAGGGATAAAACATCCCTTAAGTGATACAGGTATAAAAGAGACAATACTGACCTTAATAAGAAATTCTGTTTTCCTTATGGTACAAACTATGGATTCATTAAAACTGCGAAAGCAACCTAGGAAACCATTTGTTTTGCCTTAAAGAAGCAGATGAGGAATGTTCATTTTCTCTTCTAAAGACATCACCCATCTTGCCCTTTTGGCAAGTTTCTGTGGTAGCTGTCTCTGTACTTCATCTATTCTATTCTTCCTCTACAGTCACATTTATAGAAGTCATGTTTAAACTTTAGAATAATTAATGCAACCTGGCAATTACTTACTAGATATTTTATATCCCCTAGGGTTACAAAGTGTCAGCATTTGATTTTTAAGCACCAAATTGTATTATGAACAACACAAGGACAAATGATAATATATTATTGTAATATCCAGTGCAAATAGGGCTGCTTGTGTAGGAGACAACTGACAGAAGATGAGAAAGAAAACAAATTACTTCAACTGACTCCTGTATACTCAGTTAAAAATTTTTACAGCTGTCAAAAAGGTATATAGAAGTACATCCACCTATAGACCAATTTCCAATGAGAGCTTGTAGCTTAGAAAAGATTACTGTAAATTCTCTTCTAAGTTATCAGAAAGCAGTTTATATATTCAAGACAGTATTATTGCTATAAGTTTCCTTGGCTTAACACTATGAATTCAATTTTATGTAAAAGGTAAATACAACGTAAGTATATTTTCTGTATACCACAGTACATCAATCAAACATTAACTTCTGACAAAATGAAACCTCTAAAGAAGTAGATATAAATATCAGGCAGTCCCTAAACAGCTAATACTCAAGAAATAACTACTCAAGAAAGAAAGTGATAATGAAAGAATAAACTAGCCCCTTTTCAATGCCCGACCACTGATACTTTACTTTTATCCCCTCCTCCTGGGAAGATAGAGCGAAGCCTGGCTTTCTTATTCTTCTCTTCTGGGGCCATGGGAAGCGGTTTGGAGCTGTGGTTAAGCGCTGAAGAATCCCGATTGTTACTATTCATCCTCAGTGGGGGAGCAGGGGGTTTCTCTTCATTATCCAGATTGTCAGACATTTTCAGTTACAACTAACTGCACAGCTCCTAAAGGAGGAGGAGGAGAAAATGCATTAAGAAAGAAGAGATCCATAAAACAATCTAGTAAATATAGGAATTCTAATATCTTAGAAACAAAGATATTGGTTTCATATTGTCTCAGATTTTTCATTGACCATGTTGAGGGGTTTCTTTTCTAGAGGAAAATATACCACCTCCCTAATGACCAACCGTGAAATTTCCCAAAGAAAAAAAGTGAAGGCTATGATTAATCGCTTTTCAATATGCACACACAAACACATAAAAGGTCCCTTCCATTTCTCACAATGAAACTATATTTTCTGCTGTACACTGAGTCTTTTAATGAACAAGTTACAATCTTTCTTCTTTAAACATTCTATCCTGATCATTGTTATGGTAGGGTAGCAAAATTTCTTCAGAATCCAAAATTGACACAGATTTGGCTGTTGATTTTAATGGCCCATAAGAATGACTTGTTGGATGCTTTGACATTGGGATGCCTTTGGTGTCTGATTCTTACTTGTGTATACCTGATCTACAACATATACTCTACTGTTTTATGAGAAAGAATTAAGAAGCAATCTAATAGACCTGGTAGTTTCAACAAAGTTGGGGTGTACAGATAGAAGAAATAATTCCCCGTCTTTAGGTAGCAGGTAGAAGATAACGCTGAACCAAATGTCACCATGAGCAAAACGGAGCTTCAAGGAAAGGACCACTTCCTAAGGAGACACTAAAAGCTTACTCATTGTCATATTTTATGTCGTGGAATAGGGAGCAAAGAAGTTGACAGGAGTAACATGGTTGTAAGAATCTGTCTGTGTTTTAGCAACTTATTTGCTCTTAATTTCATTACTTTTGCATTTTGTGCTTAGGGCTGAATATATTTGGGTTTTATCCCACTCAGAGGGTAAAGTAAACTGTAAAATATGGATTTTCCAATGAAATGTTTCTGTTTCCAGCTGTTTTACTATTCTAATTCAAGTCCTTCATTAAGGACCTGAAACTTGCCATGGCAAGTCAGGTGTTAAGAATGAATGAATGAATGAATCTTCAGTTTAAATACAAGAAAAATCAAATTTCATTGCAACAAAATCTCTGTAAATTCAAGTATTCAGTTGTACTCATTTAGGAGCAAAAGAACCCTCCCTCCAAACACAACTTAGTATATCACTTTATCCCAACAACATTTACTATAAACAAATATAATAAAAACAATAAAACCAGGATCGCCTCATTACCAGTTATAATGAGAAATAATGTGTCATAAATATGTTTAGCTCTTTAGTTGTTACAATGTTTATTGTTTTCAGTATTGAACTCTAATTAGGTTACATCATGTTATGTAGAATTTATTTTAATTTTACTATGATGTTCTAAGTATTCTCAAATATATACAGCCTGTGAATATTTAAGAATAAGTGATTATCAATAGCTTCTCTATCTGCATATCCAACAATGATAATGCTGATTGGATTTATCTTGATTTGGATGAGAGGTCTCTTTTCCTTTTCTAAGTGTCATGACTTCTATTATCTTAATAAATTAAGAACAATTCTATGTTTTTTTTTTCAGTTAGCTTTGTGATAGTAAAAATACTCAGTATTAAATATTTTCTCACAAATGGCAACAACTTAATAAGTCTGACATTTTCCTATGTAAGTGAAACTATAGTATACAGCAAAATTAAAATGAACTGATGTCAAGGATAAGGGATAAGGCCTACTAATTGATATACTAGTGCCTATTTTAATTAGAATACTAAACTACTGCTAATAGGTTTATATTCCCTTTTGTATTTGATTTTGGTCCTTATAAATTCACTGTTTCTCCAAAATAGAAGTGAGTGTAAGACTCAAGAGAACCAAGATGGTGGCTTAGGTAAACACCTATACTTGCTGCTTCTCACAATCACATCAAAATTACAATTAGCCGAAACCGGTTTGGCTCAATGGATAGAGCGTCGGCGCGGGGACTGAAGGGACCTGGGTTCGATTCCAGTTGAGGGCATGTAGCTTGGTTGCGGGCATATCCTCAGTGGGGGGTGTGCAAGAGGCAGCTGATCAATGACTCTCCCTCATTGATGTTTCTAGCTCTCTATCTCTCTCCCTTCCTCTTTGTACAAAAACAATAAAATATATTTTTAAAAAAAGAATTACAAAATTACAATTAAAAGGCAGAAAAACTGCCACCCAGAATGAACGGGAAAGCTGACTGAATGTAAGTTCCATACCTACAGAGATGAAGAAAATGCATTGAGACTGGTAATACGTACGTAGGCATGGAAAGTGCTGGCACCTGGGATTGCTGCTCTTTTAATCAGGAGGGCGATACAAGCTCCCACTTGCTCTGAACTCCAGTTCTGGGTGAGACTCTTGGGGACCCAGACACATATGGGGTGAAACTGGACTGTCTGGCATCAGGACAGGAAGGTGGCTTTAATTCAGAGGAGCTCACAGTGATCATTGTTCCTCCAAGGGAGTGTGGGATGCAGAGATCTGGGGACCTCTCTGATGCAGGGCTTACTGGCAGCCATTGCTGTTTGTTCTACCCTAGTGATTCCTAGAGACCCTGCCCCACCCAATTTACAACCTGACCCAAGCTATGTGCATTGGCTTTGCATATGAATGGCCTATCCTTTTGCAACCTAAAACATGTCAAACTGAAGCTGGGTCAGAGAGCCCCATATTTTCCAAAAGAAGGCCCAAGGCATGATAGCAGCAGCCTGCCTTGCTTCACAGCTGGGTCCAGGATGGGCACTTCCAAACCCAATTCAAAGAGGAAGAATCTACAGATGTCTCTGTATCTCTTGCTGGGTGCCCCCAGACATTGACTAACCTTGCACCTTCCTGTAGAGCCAAAAACTAGTGTACCCAGTGGTCAGTGTACAAACAAAATTACAACTCTTCATATTCATAAGTGACATACCCAAAGGGCAGACTCAGCAAGCACCAAAGCCCCACTGAAGCAAGTCCTGCCCCATAAGGTTGTCTCCTGCACAACAGATTTTCCAGTGTAGACACAGTTGGTCATTAAAGCCCATTGGCCTGGAGGTCATTTCCTCCCAGTGATACCAACAGCAACCAAGACTTAACTACAACAAGACTATGCACACAGTCCAGAAAAGGGTTCATTAAGAGCATCCACCTCAGGTGACTGAGGAGGCTGAGACAATGGGCCCTACAGGACACCTACCACACAAGTCCACTCTGTCAACTCAAGGAGACTTAGCAGCTACCCAGTACATAGAAACAAACACAGGGAAGCAGCCAAAATGCAGAGACAAAGAAACAAGTCACAAATGAATGAAATGGAAGAAAGCAAGATACTGGATATAGAGTTCAAAACCACAGTTATAAGGTTACTCAAGAATCGTGTAGAAACCTCCAAGAAATTTAGTGAGACCTTCAAGAATGTGGAAAAGGACCAATCAGAAATTAAGCATACACTAACTGAAATAAATAATAATATATAGAGATACAACAGAAAACTAGAGGATCCCAAGAATCAAGTCAAAATTTAAAATATGAGGAAGCAAAAAAACACCCAACTGGAAGAGAAAAAAAAAATTCAAAAATATGAAGATAGTGTAAGGAGCCTCTGGGGCAACTTCAAGCATACCAACATCCAAATTACGGGGGTACTAGAAGAAGAGAGAGAGCAAGATATTGAAAACCTATTTGAAAAAATAATGACAGAAAACTTCCCCTACCTGGTGAAGGAAATAAACGTACAAGTATAGGAAGCACACAGAACCCCAAACAAGAGGAACACAAAGAGGACCACACCGAGACACATCATAATTAAAATGCCAGGGGCAAAAGACAAAGAGAATCTTACAAGCAGCAAGAAAAAAACAGTTAGTTACCTACAAGGGAATACCCATATGACGGTCAGCTGATTTCTCAACAGAAACTATGCAGGCCAGAAGGGAATGGCAAGAAATATTCAAAGTGATAAATAACAAGAACCTGCAACCAGATTACTCTACCCAACAAAGCTATCATTTAGAAATGAAGGTCAGATAAAGAGCTTCACAGACGTATTTTTCTCCACCATTGAGGTGTGTGCATTTGCTTCTCCTTCACCATGTCTTCCCACAAGACTTTCAGGTTCAAAAGGTTCCTGGCCAAGAAACAAAAGCATAATTGGCCCATTCCCAATGGATTCGGATGAAAACTGGTCATAAAATCAGGTACAACTCGAGGAGGAGATATTGAAGAAGAATCAAACTGGGCCTATAAGAAATCATACATGAGAGATGACTCACATATTTATGCTTTATTCAGGTTGCCTACACCTTTAAAGTATTGAAAATATGCTACTATCTGGACAGTTAGGGCATTTTAATCAGAGAATTAATGGACTTGTGGTTTTGCTCTGTCGATTTTTTCCTGGTACAATAGTAGGATGGTTCAGTAATAAATATGTAATACCTTTAAAAGTAAAAAAGAGCTTCCCAGACAAGAAAAAGCTAAAGGAGTTCATTACCACCAAACCAGCATTATATGAAATGCTGAAGGTTATTCTCTAAGAAGAAGAAGAAAAAGGTAAAGATAGAAAAAGGGTAAAGATAAAAAATTATGTACAACAAAGTGACAACAAATACATATCTATCAACAAGTGAATCTAAAAATCATATAAATAAATAACAGGGTAAATACAACAGATTGGTGAATGTAGTAGAATCAAGGACATGTGAAGGGGGCAGTCTAATCATTCCCCAGAGGGGGTAGGGATTTGGGGTATGTGGGAAGAGATTGGAAAAAGAGCTTACACCTATGGACGAGGTCAATCCGGGCAGGGGAGGCCTGTAGTGAAGTGGGAACCAGGTGGAGAAGAGCTATGGAGGGAAAAAGAGAAATATCTGTAACAGTCTAACAATAAAGATGCAAAAAACAAACAAACTAGGAAATCAAAGAAACAATAAAAATAAAAATCCTATCTAATAAAGGTGATATGCAAATTAACTGTAACACCCCTACACCAGTGTTTCCCAA